ATGAGGAGTTTCCCTACTTAATTTTGAGCAAGGAGATTGTTAATATCTTAACTTGGAGAGTAATCAGTTCTTAACACCTCACTCTGCCTTGACAACACAGCAGTCTTTTAATACATAATACATTTTTTTATCCTAATAAAGGAACAAAGATTGCTTCCTCACCCCATTGCTGTTCTTTTTTTTTTTTTTTGATTTGGAGTCTTACTCAGTCGCCCATACTGGAGTGCAGGGCGCAGCCTCGACCTGCTGGGCTCCGGTGATCCTTCCACCTCAGCCTTCCGAGTAGCCGGAATTACAGGCGCGCGCTACCATGCCCGGCTGATTTTTTGATTTATTGTAGAGATGAGGTCTCGCTGTCCTGGCGGGTCTCGAACCCATGGGCTCAGGCGATCCACTCACCTCAGCCTCCCAAAGGCACGGGGTTACAGGCTGAGCCACTGAGGCTGGCTACCCCATTGCTATTTTAAGGTTAACTCATCATTGGCTGTTAAGACTTGATCACACACTTGGTCCAAAGCTTATGTCTAAAAGAAAAAAATTCTTTGAACCCACCTCCTGCATACTTTATAATGGCTTACTGCCTAGGGGTCAGCAGCTGATGGTCATGGGCCTTACCTTATAGGTAACTCCTCTATTATAAAACCTAATGTTAGGCCAAAGTTCCACTGGGGCCTCCAAAATGTCACGTCAGACCAGATGGGGTCTGCAATTCAGTGCTACACAAAAGATGCAAAGAGGTTGGATTTAAAAATATAGTTGATTTAAAAAGTAAACTAGAGAGAAAGAGATTCACCTCCCCAGTGTAGGGGAAGGAAGGGGCCAAAGCTAGGGGGAAAATGGTGCCCATAGCTCAAAGAACCACATGGCCAGACCAGAACTTAGCAAAGCAGTGACCCTAAATTTTTTTTTAAATCTTAATTTTAGAAGTAAAAAAATTAAATGAAAAAATTCGTAAGTTGAGGTTTAAGATGCGGGATTGGTAGTAGTGGGAATCTGCCTGGGGAAGCGGGGGCACACCTCATCAACCAAGGTACCTGCATAAGGAACATTTGTATACCTAACCCTGAATTGTACCCCACATCTTTAAAATAAAAAAAATTAAAAACAACAACAACAACATACATTTGAGGAAATGAGGTGGAAAGTAAAACTGAGTAATAGCACGTTCATTGGGAAAATATGTTTTTCCAATGAGTACGGTGGAATTCTGGGTGACATTCTTTGCACATTTATGTGTATTTGTGTACTAAATAGCATGGATCTGACAGAAGGAGACGTTTCTTTTATTTCAGCTTTAAAAACTCTATATCAAAGACGAGTGACATTTGCTAAGCGTGTCCAAGAGACCAGTAGTACATAAGGCAGAGTCCTTGGCTCACATTCGTCTCTCCAGCCTTGGATCACTTTCTGCTTGCCTAGAATAATGTCAGGTGTTTGTTACAGAAGGCGTTAAATTTCTTTCCATTCTCAGTATCCCATTCCCATCGTACGCTTTGCAGATCATACTGTGCTCTGGGTAGAGTACTTTCATTTTTCTGTTATAGCAGATAGGCTGTTCACACTGGTGGTCCGGGCTGAAAGTGGAACAGTTCCTTTGCTTCTTTTAACTCATTTCTTAAAATGAGTAAAAGCTGTCTCCAGTTTAGCATAATGAGAAGATAAGGTAATAATGGTTGAATTTTTTTCTGGGCAATTGATGTATCTTCCTGATCACTCAAGCTGTTCTCCAAAAAATCTTGTTTTCTCTCTTCATTTAACAAAGTTGATTGTTGTCTCTTGATAATATACTGACTTTTCTTGTTTTTCATAATATTACTGCTAGATTTTTTAGGGTTTTTTTTTTTTTGACTGATTTTCCTCCAGGTTTTACTTACTTCACCTGTCTCTTACTAGGTCCTAGGTTTCTCTTTTTTTCAAGCCATATGTCCCTGTTTCTTTAGTTATTACTTCTCAGACTCATTCCCATAAATAAATATATAAACATAAATACACATTGTCTAGTTCACCAATATGAACTATATACATACATATATTTTTTATTTTCAAAACTTGTTTTTTTAGAGACAAGCAAGGCCTCACTATGTTGCCTAGGCTGGTATCAAACTCCTGGGCCCAAGCAGTCTTCTTGCCTCAGCCTCCCAGAGTGCTGGGATTACAGCCATGAGCCACCACGCCCGACCAAAACATGGGTTTGTTTTTATTTTTATTTATTTATTTATTTGAGTTGGGGTCTCTCTGTCACCCAGACTGAAATGAAGTGACAAGATCACTCCTTGCTGTTTAACCTCAGGCAATCCTTCTGCCTTAGCCTCCCAAGTAGCTGGAACTACAGGTCCATGCCACCACAACCAGCTAGTTTTATTTTTTAACTTTTTTGAGCTGGAGTCTCACTCTGACACCCAGGTTGGAGTGAGTGCAGTGGCATGTTCACGGCCACCCCAGCGTCGACCAGCTAAGCTCCGGCAATCCTTCCGCCTCAGCCTTCTAAGTAGCCAGAACTACAGACACATGCTACCATGCCCGGCAAATTTTTTTTTTTTAATTGTAGA